AGGGACTGCCACTGATGTGTTTTGGATGGGGGGGAGGGCTGGTGCTAGGGAGGGGGGTAGGGTGCAGGGGACTCGGGGGTAGTGGGGGTCTCTAGGGGGCAGTGTTGGCACCGGGGGCTCGGCTTTGGTGGACTGGTAACCTTTATTTACATATTTGCATATTCATAGTTTGCATAATGAATACACAAATATGCAAACGTTACTGGTCCACCAAAAGTTTGCGAATGGGTTTGCCAGTCCCCAGAATCAAAAAGGTTGGCAACCACTGTTGTAAAGCATGAAATAAAACTCAAGAATGTTTGCTTTACTCAGAAATGCAGTTTAATTTATGAGTTCACATTCTGTGTATTTCCCTTCATTGATTATCTGTTAAATCCCATAAAATCCAAATATAACTCTGGATCCAGATGTTTCTCATATTCCTTATAGATCAAAATGAACACTCATAATTGCCACTCTAGACACAGACTTAGGGCATGAGAACGCATACTTAAGGATTACTGAATGTAAAATGAGCTTCATTGCCCAACTAAGTCATGCTTTCAACAAAACCATCAAGAAACGTCTTCAGATTTGTAGGAGGCCTATAAAAATTCATTTGGTGTGCTGCCATTCCTACCACACAATTAAAGCCCAGATGTCTGCAAATCATCCTTGTGGCTTGTGGATGAATGTAAATGCAAATTTTATATCTAGAATCCTGCAAATCTGTGGATATCTGCTTTATGTATTTGGATATTCACGGACCGTGTTTGGGAGCCTGATGCCAGAATTATTTTTATGTAAACCTGGAAAAAATTATAACACAAGAGGAAGACATCGATGCCCAAAGGATAAGGATTAGTAAAGATGGGATGGCGTTCTAAGAAATAAGAGAAAATGTGGAGATGTAGCAAAAAGATTCAAGGGATTGAGGAGAAATAATCAATAGTTGTATGGCATAGCTCCTCAAACCCAGTCACATTCAGATAGACATGACAAAGGCTGGGGGCAGAATGAGTCCCAGAGAGATGAAATATGTCCAGACATGTACAGCAAGTCAAACATTAAAACATAGATGAAGAACATTGACACATGTAGACACTATTCAGTAGAAGATCTTTGCACTCAGTCTAATTCATTTCTCATGCTTGTGGCAGAAAAGGCCAGATGGATGTACTAGTTACTATAAATTGCAAACAGAAACCAGAGGAGTGCTACAAGGATAAAGTGTCTCCTAAGTGTTTCATTACTAGAGGATTTACCCAGCATTGCCTGGGTCCTTGTGGGGGCTCAGGGTAGAGAGTGGGAGAGTGCAGTAGTCAGGGTAGAGGGCTGGAAGATGTGGGGAAGGCTCAGGGTAGGCAGTGGAGGTGGGTGGGGCTCATTGCAGAGGGCTGGGATGGCAGAAGGACTCGGGGTGGGGAGATGCAGAGGATTCAGGGTAGGGGATGAGAGGTGTGGAGGGCTGAGGGTAATTGATGGGGGTGCAGGAGTCAGGGCAAGTTATGGAAGGCTCAGGGCAGGGGGGTATGCAGGAATCAGGGTGAAGGGGTTCAGGGCAGGCAGCTGAGTGAAGGGGAGCTTATGAGGGCCACCCATGGTGGTGAGGGTGGTACTGCCTCAATGGCGGCTTCTCTCTATTGGGAGATGGTAGCAGGGCTGGTGGCTGGCAGCGCTACGGCCAAGGAAGGGAGGAGCAGAGGTTTGAGGCAGGGGGTCACTTACCCTGTCTGCTGTCAAGTTGGCCAGCCCCTGGCCAAGCTGGCCACTGTTTTGCTGGTGCAGAGGCCCCCCTGTGGTCACTCTGCAATATAGCTGTCCCTCTGATCAGCCCCCTTCCTTTCCATGTGATGCAGTGTTGGCACCGGGGGCTCGGCTTTGGTGGACTGGTAACCTTTATTTACATATTTGCATATTCATAGTTTGCATAATGAATACACAAATATGCAAACGTTACTGGTCCACCAAAAGTTTGCGAATGGGTTTGCCAGTCCCCAGAATCAAAAAGGTTGGCAACCACTGTTGTAAAGCATGAAATAAAACTCAAGAATGTTTGCTTTACTCAGAAATGCAGTTTAATTTATGAGTTCACATTCTGTGTATTTCCCTTCATTGATTATCTGTTAAATCCCATAAAATCCAAATATAACTCTGGATCCAGATGTTTCTCATATTCCTTATAGATCAAAATGAACACTCATAATTGCCACTCTAGACACAGACTTAGGGCATGAGAACGCATACTTAAGGATTACTGAATGTAAAATGAGCTTCATTGCCCAACTAAGTCATGCTTTCAACAAAACCATCAAGAAACGTCTTCAGATTTGTAGGAGGCCTATAAAAATTCATTTGGTGTGCTGCCATTCCTACCACACAATTAAAGCCCAGATGTCTGCAAATCATCCTTGTGGCTTGTGGATGAATGTAAATGCAAATTTTATATCTAGAATCCTGCAAATCTGTGGATATCTGCTTTATGTATTTGGATATTCACGGACCGTGTTTGGGAGCCTGATGCCAGAATTATTTTTATGTAAACCTGGAAAAAATTATAACACAAGAGGAAGACATCGATGCCCAAAGGATAAGGATTAGTAAAGATGGGATGGCGTTCTAAGAAATAAGAGAAAATGTGGAGATGTAGCAAAAAGATTCAAGGGATTGAGGAGAAATAATCAATAGTTGTATGGCATAGCTCCTCAAACCCAGTCACATTCAGATAGACATGACAAAGGCTGGGGGCAGAATGAGTCCCAGAGAGATGAAATATGTCCAGACATGTACAGCAAGTCAAACATTAAAACATAGATGAAGAACATTGACACATGTAGACACTATTCAGTAGAAGATCTTTGCACTCAGTCTAATTCATTTCTCATGCTTGTGGCAGAAAAGGCCAGATGGATGTACTAGTTACTATAAATTGCAAACAGAAACCAGAGGAGTGCTACAAGGATAAAGTGTCTCCTAAGTGTTTCATTACTAGAGGATTTACCCAGCATTGCCTGGGTCCTTGTGGGGGCTCAGGGTAGAGAGTGGGAGAGTGCAGTAGTCAGGGTAGAGGGCTGGAAGATGTGGGGAAGGCTCAGGGTAGGCAGTGGAGGTGGGTGGGGCTCATTGCAGAGGGCTGGGATGGCAGAAGGACTCGGGGTGGGGAGATGCAGAGGATTCAGGGTAGGGGATGAGAGGTGTGGAGGGCTGAGGGTAATTGATGGGGGTGCAGGAGTCAGGGCAAGTTATGGAAGGCTCAGGGCAGGGGGGCATGCAGGAATCAGGGTGAAGGGGTTCAGGGCAGGCAGCTGAGTGAAGGGGAGCTTATGAGGGCCACCCATGGTGGTGAGGGTGGTACTGCCTCAATGGCGGCTTCTCTCTATTGGGAGATGGTAGCAGGGCTGGTGGCTGGCAGCGCTACGGCCAAGGAAGGGAGGAGCAGAGGTTTGAGGCAGGGGGTCACTTACCCTGTCTGCTGTCAAGTTGGCCAGCCCCTGGCCAAGCTGGCCACTGTTTTGCTGGTGCAGAGGCCCCCCTGTGGTCACTCTGCAATATAGCTGTCCCTCTGATCAGCCCCCTTCCTTTCCATGTGATGGAAAACAATCTGATTCCAGGCACATCCCACTTCCCTGGCACAACCAAACCCAGACCTTGCTTTAAGTTATGATAAGAGGAACCTGCACGCCAATTTGGTGTTCCTAGCTCTTACTATTTAGAAGTAGTTCTTGAACAAACAGGCTCACAGACTTAGTCACACATTTCTAAAATGTATAGAAGATAACAATTCAGAATTAGTTTCTGATCTTTAATATCTTCCAGTTTCCATCTTGAGGAAGATGTAATGTATGTATTTTAACTTAATTAAAATACTGCAATTAAATGTCATTATCTTCCAGTTTAGACTTTGGAAAAAAGCCTTTTCAAATCTATTTATGTATATTTAGAAGTTTACTGTCAAGTTTGCCATTTTTGATCTAAAAACAATAAACATTACAGGATGATGGAATTTAATGTAAAAGTTTCATCAAAGAAGAAAATATTTTTATCATTTTAGAATCTCTATGAATTTAGAGCACATTACATGCTGTAATACTGGCAAAGGTAATTTCATTGTATGGGGAGCAACATATGGTAGGTTCACTAGTATGTGTGTGTTTGAAAAGTATAGAAACATGAGTAATCTGATACTTATTATTTTGTTTGCCATATGCTTTTAGTATAATTGACTTAAGTCATTTTTGTGTAATGAAGTAAGAAGGACTCATCTACTAGGAGAGGGCATTTTGAAAACTTTTATTTTGTACACTTTTTTAAATGAATACATAAGTTATGTGGTTCTGAAAAATTGGTTGCTCGATGGATTCACTTTGTGGCTTCCATTTCTGGCTATGACTTATGGTAAACTTCGTTTTACAGAATTTTAGATATGTATTCATCTAAATTAACAGTTGTACTAATGCCAAATGCATGATTTCTCTAGGATCTGTGTCTGTGGATATCCTCGGCAACAAGTAAGGAAATACAAAGGCGTAAATAGTAGAATTCCAGTTTCTTCTGAATTCATGGTGCAAATGCTGACTGGGATTTATTATGCCTTGTAAGTTTACCATACACATATGAAATCTTAATTTTGCATACTCCCTTTAGCACAGATGTCATTTCATACCTGTTGAACATACTTCTAATTCACGATTAGTAGAATTATATTCTCTTAATGGGATAATTCTCTAAGTTGCAATGAAGCTTGAGGGAAAAATCTATTGGGTAGATTTAACTAATATCGAAGTCTTTTTAATAGCCATTTTTTTGCAACTACTATATCTATTCATCCCATATCCATTGTTGCTCACATACATGTTTGTGCTGAGAAATGACAAATGTGACTCCAGTTTTGGAAAACTCATTGCTATCTTAATTTTTTCTTGCCATACTCACATTATTGCTTATCTTCAACACTCTTATCTAATGGCTGTAGGTAAATTAACTGAATTTTGATATTGTATTAACTGAAATAATTGCTCCCATAGACTTGTTCACAGCGTGAGTAAATATTCAAAATATGAAATAGCAGGCAGCATGCTAGCTATACAACTCTATTGAAATTTCATAACTTAAATGTAACAACTTGTTCAGTATTTACCTAAAATTAACAGGGAGTCTTATGGCTCCTTGTTCTTGCTGAAACAGACTAACATGGCTACCTCTGATATCTAAAATTAAACCACTCAAGAACGTTAAGTTGTTTGATTATAAACCAACTGATTTTAAACTTGCATTTTTTCTTTAATTAAAGTCAAAACTGTTTGTACTATTTGTTCTTATTAATAGTAAGTTTAGTGGTTCACTTGTACTGATTTCTGAATAAGGATATTGTTGATGTTGTTTGAAAGTAATGTGATCTAGGAGAGACACTTAGCTATTACTTTAGATAAAAATGTGGATGCAGTTTATAAAACTTGGTAATCCTACTTAAATATGATTTTTCTAGTTATAACGGAGAATGGGATCTAGCTCGTAAAGCAATGGATGACATTTTATATAGAGCTCAGCTGGAGTTGTATCCAGAACCACTGCTGGTCAGTATTACATCTGGGATTTTTCTTTTATAAATCTAGATACAGAGTTACTAAACTCTAAATCAGGGCTGCTCAACTTTGGAAGCCCTGGGAGCCACAATGATACTCTCAGCTCATGCCGAGGGCCGCAACTTAAGTGTGGTTGCATATACATGCAAATATATATGCACATAGCTTCTTTCACACTGACAGGCATGAATACAAAGATTAAGGCAAGACTACACAATATGCATGCCCCATTCAAGTCAGTTTTGCTGATATTAATAAATGCAATATTTACCCGATTTTTACCCTTACGGCAGCAGTATTAATGAGCAAAGACAGTCCAGGAATTTAACTACTAAAACGCATATCAACAGAAGACCACTGACTGACTGCTTTATTGTTTTGGCTCACACCCGTGGGCCATGTCTCGAGCCCCACGAAACCCAACTTGCACCGCGGGCTGCAAACAAACGAGCTGCAGGCCACATGTGGCCCACAGGCTGAGTCTTGAGTAGCCATGCTGTAAATGGTGCTGGTGCTGCAGCATTCTAATGAAACATAAGTTCACAAGGAGTCATCTGTATCTTACATGTGCTAATTATGTTTGGAAGCATGTACTTTTTTACGCTTTTCCCTCCCCCAAAAATATTTTTAATTTGTGCATCATGAGCAATGTGCAAGTAGTCATGGTTTTAAATGGAGACTGCCATCAAAACAGCTGTTTAAAGCATTTTACAGGTTGCTTGATTTTAGTTAGACTTCAAACTATCTGACATAAAAACTGTGAGCAGTCCTCTGGCATCTTAGGCCATGTCTACACTAGGAAATTATTTTGAAATTACTAAATTTGATTTAAGAGCTCCCAATTTAACAAATTTGAACTAGTGTGCCCTCACTATGGGGAAGCATCAAAATTAGTCCGAGGCAGGCTCCATTAATGTGGACACGCTGTCTTGGACTTAGAGCCCAAGGAAGCACTTTGGGGAGCTGCAGGAGGCCTCCTGGAGACCAATAAGTCTGAATTAGCAGCACTGGAGCATCTTTACTACTTTTACTTCAAAATGATTATTTCAGAATTAGTAATAGAAATGTAGCCGTGTTAGTCTGGTGTAGCTGAAGCAAAATGCAGGACTATGTAGCATTTTAAAGACTAACAAGATGGTTTATTAGATGATGAGCTTTCGTGGGCCAGACCCACTTCCTCAGATCAAATAGTGGAAGAAAATAGTCACAACCATATATACCAAAGGATACAATTAAAAAAATGAACACATATGAAAAGGACAAATCAAATTTCTGTGAATGTCTGTAAATGTCTGTGAGGTAATGATATTAGAGTGGGTCTGGCCCACGAAAGCTCATCATCTAATAAACCATCTTGTTAGTCTTTAAAGTGCTACATAGTCCTGTATTTTGCTTCAGAATTAGTGTTACTCCTCGTGAAAAGCAGTAGTACAGAGTTTGAATTCCATGGCCCATTATTTCAAAATAATGGGTTTGGTAGAGTGGACACACCACTTATAAATTTGACCTCTGAGGGGTTATTTCGGAATAAGGCCCTAGTGTAGACCAGGGCTTAGTGACAAGCATATTTTTAGGTCGTGAGCTTTTGTGGATAAAACCTTCTTCATCAGATGAGTTGGAGTAGAAATTACAGAGTATATAGCAGCAAAGGAAGTTACCCATCAATTGTAGGACCAGTGTTAATGAAGATAATTAAGACAGGGAGGCTGCTATGAACAGGACACTCTGACTTACTTAATGCTGGTTCTACAATTGACTGGCAAATTCCTCTGGTACTGGAAAAGGTTCAGAAAAGGGCAACAAAAGTTATTAGGGATTTGGAATGGGTCCCATCTGAAGAGAGACTAAAGAAGACTTGGACTTTTCAGCTTAGAAAAGAGGAGACTAAGTGAGGATATGATAGAGGTCCATAAAATCATGACGGATGTGGAAAATTGAATAAGGAAAAGTTATTTACTTATTCCCACAATATAAGAACTAGGGGTCACCAAATGAAAGTAATAGGAAGCAGATTTAAAACAAAAGGAAGTTTTACTTCACTCAGTGCACAGTCAACCTCTAGAACTCCTGGCCAGAGGATGTGGTGAAGGCTAGAACTTTTAACAGGGTCCAGAAAAGAGCTAGATAGATTCATGGAGGTTAGGTTCATCAATGGCTATTAGCCAGGATGGGTAGCAATGGTGTTCCTAACCTCTGTTTCTCTGGAGGGCGGTGACAGGGGAGGGATCATGTGATGATTACCTGTTGTGTTCCCTCCCTCTGGGGCATCTGGTATTGGCCACTATCCTCAGAGAGGATACTGGACTGAATGAACGGTTGGTGTGACCCAGTATTGCCATTCTTATGTTCTTATATACCCCAGACTGTATAATATCCACTCCAACTCATCTGATGAAGTGGGTTTTTCCCACAAAAGCTTATGATCTAATAAATTTGTAGTCTCTAAGGTGCCACAGAACTGCTAGTTGTTTTTACAGTTACAGACTAACATGGCTACCTTTGAGATGCTTTACCTGACAAAGGCATAATTGCAAACTCATTTTTGTCTGGTCTTTGAAACATACTGTGAACCATATGATCATATCTGCTCTCAGATTGCATGTGATTATTATATTTTTCCAGAGCAGTGAAATATTTGAATTACTGCCTACAGTACTTCTGTTAGAATCCAAATCTTGGTAAGAACTTCACTCACACTTTTCCTCTCTAGGTTGCTAATGCAATAAAGGCCTCACTGCCTCAAGGTGCCATGAAATCTAGTAAAGAAGGTACAAGATGCATTCAGGTTGAAATTACACCTACTTCATCAAGAATATCAAGGAATGCTGTCACTAGCATGTCCATCCGGGGGCATAGATGGAAGAGACGTGGTAAGAAATACACTGTATACATTAAATGCTATGCTTTTTTATTAGAACTATATTTTATTAAAAATGAAATTCTTAGAGTAATGCAAGGGATTTAGACACCACACATCTTCCATATAATTTTAATCTTCACCATAATGTCTCTGGTTAGTGAATAAAAACTGTTATATGCTAGTCTCTTTAAAAATCCAACATCATGGATGTTCAGAGAAAGATTGAGTGTAAACAGAGCAGCCTTAGCACACTTGGGGGTCTGTATTCTAAATTTGCCTAAGTACAGACTATTGCCCCAATGGACTCTTGAGCCATTGTGCTATTGAGCAGTTGATGCTTAGCAATTATATACTGAGATGTAATTGCCAGTAACAGATTAAGTACTGATTCCTTTTTCCTAACTGGGAATAAAAATCTCTTTGCCGGAGCTCTGGGTGAATATTTTATTTTTCTCTCCTCAGCTGTTCAGTTCTTTAAATTTTTTGTTTTTTATTTAAAATATAGGATTGTACAGCATTCATGAATCTGTTAACTAAAGAAGTTACACATAGCATTTGTTTAACAGGAAGCATTAGTATAGCAAGTGTCTACAAGTGTCCCATATTTGTGTCCAAAATGCAGCAATTATTAATTGCAATAACTAAAGTAATTTAAGGCAGGTAATGTGTTTTCCATAGAACCTTTTATGTAAAATGTTGAAATGAAACTAGGAACAGTGTAAAGTGGAAGAAGATGGTCATGTTACAATTATATTAATTTTCATCGTGGAAGAATAGAGGCTAAAAAATACTTAATTAGAGGTATTCTGAGTCCTAGACTGGGCTGATAGAAAACTGCACGTTAAGGTATCTCTTTTTTTCAGTACAGGCAGTCCCCGGGTTACGTACAAGATAGGGACTGTAGGTTTGTTCTTAAGTTGAATCTGTATGTAAGTCGGAACTGGCGTCCAGATTCAGCCGCTGCTGAAACTGATCAGTTTCAACAGCGGCTGAATCTGGACACCAGTTCTGACTTACATACAGATTCAACTTAAGAACCCCAGGCATCCCCAAGTCAGCTGCTGCTGAAACTGATCAGCGGCTGATTCCAG